ACGAGCAGTTGGACAGGTGTACCTAATAAAGTGGCCGGTGAGTGTATATCAACAAATCTAAACATACACCAAATTAAGATTACAACAATATAACAGAAAGAACAAAACTATAAATGATAATAAGAAAAAATTAATACATAAAATATAAAATAAAAAATAAATAAAATGCTTCTCAGTTGATATCAGTATCGCTTACACTTGACATCCCATTACCTCCACCCTCTTCCAGAAAGGATAAGAATGGGTACCATATCTCCTCAAATTAGTTACATTTACCTTTTAATATATAAGTTATTTTTTCCATGGCCACGTTAGTTGCCATTTCTTTTAGCCAGTTAATTTACATGTGTTGTTTGGACTTTTTTCCAAAACAGCTATAAGACACTTGTAGCAAACACATGTCAAGAACGCTCATACAAGCTTACTGTGTCTGAACTTCCGACCTAACCCCTAAATCCCTCAATCACAATATAGATCAGGGACTATATCTTGGACTTTTTAATGAACTCATTTAACTTACTGTTTGGACAGATGATCACTATTTTTTGCTCCCCGTTGGTCATGTAACTCCTTGTCCACTGTGCTGTGTCGCGGGGCGACAGCAGGCCGCTGTGACAGCAAATTCCATAATGCTTTACGAGGAGAGTAGAGAATTCCGGGATATATCTGCCTCTTTTGAGGCCCTTCTTTTCTTCTCATACACTTCGTTGACACTTTTTCTCTTACGACCCTCGGCCATTTTCAAAGAACTGCGATGAGAAAAGCAGGCTTCAATAACTGTCTGAAACCGTAGCTCACCACACATTTACGCCTGAAAGTGCGCAGGCACAGAAAAAGATAGCTAATCGGAACAGCATGTAGGAAGGTCTTACGTAAACATATTACTAGAATGATTGACATTTAGAAGGACCACTTATTTAGATGATCCACCCGGAAAAAGAAAATCCTCCACTACACCTTAAAGGAAAGTTTTAATAATTATTTTTGTTGGTACATTTATAAATATATTAAGATGCAGGAATTGGGTGGATCCAAACTAAGAAACCAAAACTTAACTGTTTTCCTTCTAAACCTGCTAAAAATGCTAAAAACTATATAGAAAGAATGATGACTGAAAAGGTTTTATCTGTAGATAAACCTATGCTTTTATTAATAAAAAATGTAATATGGTAGGTATGCATTTACAGGATTTTTTTCCAATTCAATGATTATATCAGCTCTTTAAATCTATGGTAGGAGTACCAATCACTCTTTAATACTACTTTCTGCAAATTACTTGAACGTTACCGAAGGGGAAGACATAAACACAGTTTACTCTGCAGCCAAGCAGTGTATTTTTAATGTCTGCATACTGTATATATACTTTTTTTTGTAAGTCTTAACTCAAGCTACTCTGTTTTACTATTTTGTTTCTCATTTTCATTTTTTATTTATCTTATTTTTTTTATTTCAGTGAGGTCAATGTTTGTAAGAATTATGTGCAACTAAACGTTTTCAGATTTTTTACATTTGAAGTGTTCGATCATGTTGATAGTTGCAAAGAATTATGAAATAAGCAAGAATGTTTGCTCAATGGTGAATATTTCTTTTGAGAAAACCTGTTTGGAAGATGTCAGTTACAGAGGTGCTTCTTTACAGGGAGATCGTGGGATACCTGGACTAAGAGGAGAAAGGGTATCTAATTCAACACACTGTACTATATTTCAGTTTACATTTTGGTAAATAGGTTTACTTGTTTATTACAAAGAGGAGGTTGGATTTACTATTTGTTTTAAGTCTAAATCAATTTCTGACATGACTTCTCAAATGAATTCCCTCCTGTAGGGGAGTGTGCTTCAGATTCAAGGACCTCGTGGTTTCAAGGGTTTCAAAGGGGATGCGGTGAGGTCCTCTTCAATTTATATGCCTTTCTTCTGTTAGAAACAAATTAAATTAGTTTTGAAATATTGGAAAGGGGAGTTATTATTATCTATTTTACATATAGTCCATGAAAAACTTTGCTAGTGATGACCAGGACTGATAAGGTCAACATATTTATGAATCTGAAAAGACAATATGTTGTTTTTTGATATTTGAACTAAAGATTGAAACAAACACACAAAAAAATCTATTTTTCTAATGAGCATAGTTTAGACTTAGAGTCGCAGGCTTTACAATGCATTTTCCCTTTTGTGCTACTTAATAAATAATGTCTAGGGTAAGAAAACGTACACCTAACATGTACTGGTTCTTTAAATACTGTTTTTACTTCATGGCAAAAAATAAATAAACAGGAAATAATTTTCTACAAAGTTAAATGCCATATTTATCAAAAAGTATGAAAAAAGCATATAGTTTGCAACCTCACAAAGAACTAATGCTCGCTATAACATAAATGCTGTTTGGTTGTTACATTTATTTGCAGCTATTGTATGAAAGTATAAAGCAAAGGGTTAATATTGCATGCTTTGTGGTCTTAAAATCTGCTCAGTTTTATTGATAATTTAGAGACTAGAGAGCAGATACTAAAGAACCGCATAGTCCATAACTTCAGAGTTACAGGCTGCAGCCACTTATATCTAATTCTGATTGCATATGGCCTTTTAGTCTAAATGTAGATTAAGGATGCAAGATCGCCACCTGGTCTCTATAAACAAAGAAAATGGAGTTCCAAGAATACGACAAACCAAAAATATTTACCTCTGTTTTAGAAGATTCCATTTTTGCACCAAATGTGATGTTGTGACTATATGTATATAGTTTTAAGCAATAAACACTTACCGTACTTTTTTTTTTTTTTTTTTTTTTTTTACATTTTCTTGGTCCTTTTTCAAAGACCAGTGGAAAAATTCATCATGCATTACAGTCAGAGCATCTTTTAATGGACATGTGCTTTTAAGTTAAATGTTTTTTATAAACCTTTTAGCAAAAATTCTATTAATGTCACTTTTGTTTTGGTTGTCATTATAACTGCATTATGTAAACAACAACAAAAAACGATGGGAAATATTGTTCTAGGGTGAGAGAGGTCTACCAGGTTTTGACGGAGATAAAGGAGAGAAGGGTGAGGATGGGCCACCAGGAGTTAAGGTAAAAGTTAAGGTTTCACGAAAAGTAATGTGCTAGGACTTTGGTCTTTTATTTTTCTGTAAAAAATAAATAAATAAATAAATAAATATATATATATATATATATATATATATATATATATATATATATATATATATATATATATATATATATATATCTCAGGTGATGAATATTTGTCGTATAAAATTAAAGCCTTTTCGATTATTCTCTCAGGGCCTTAAGGGGGATGCAGGCACTAAAGGTGCACTCGGACGATTTGGAGCACGAGGACCAGTAGGCCAGAAAGTAAGCATGACATCTAGCAACATGGGATTCAGTTTGTATTATTATTTGCTCTGTGGCAAAGATTAAAGATTGTCCATATTTTTCTCAGGGGGAGCCAGGAGAGCCAGGGCTGAATGGAGTCATGGTAATAAAATGAGAGAAATATATAATTCTTCAGGCGAAAAAATGAGTAATGACCACATCAACAATGTCCCCTGTTTAGATAATCCTTACAGAGTGAAAGACACCAAATTCATACCAGATGTTGGTAATGATCCATCTATTCCACACACAGTAAAAAAAAAACAGTCTGTTACTACAATAATGGCAACTAAAATGAAAAAATCTTAAATGTATTGGTTATATTACTTTTGATAAAGCATTTCATGGTAATGACGATTTAAAGAAGCCTATATGGAAAAACGATGATAAACTAGTTTAATGTAAAAGTGAAAAACATAATTGATCCATTAATCCTTGTGTCAGTTTGCTTTTAAACTTCCCACCATGATGTTCCCATGTGATACCTTCACTCCTGGCGTGATGTTTTTGGTGTCGTTCGGCTTTAGCCTCGTCTGACTGTTCAGTATTCTTCCAGTTCTGTGCTGGCTGGTCCATATCTGCAGCAAACTATACTGACTTCATAATACTTTTTCCTCAGTAATGGAGATTTTTTTTAAGGAGTGTGTATAAAAGCCATTGTGGCTCGGTGCAGTATTTAGTGTTTACATTTTAAAAATGTGTCTCTGCTGTGCACCTTGTGATGCTCTAGAAACTACTCTGCTCTAGAAATACCCGTTTGATTATTCAGTAGACCCTTTGGTTAGATATATTATAAGGGACACCTCCTTGGTTTATGTTGAAATTACATCTTTAACTCTTAGGGCCGGATTTATCAAGATCCAATTTTGCGTGCAGTAATTTGCGCTCGCAAACTGGAATTTTGCACGAAGGGCTGAACCATGGTTTGCAGGTGATTTAACAAGAGTGATTGCGTAACTGGTGGCAGGTGCAAAACTAGTGCATTTAGAAATTTAAAT